CTGCACTTTAGCTGGGTGTGGTGGCGCACGCCTTTAATCCCAGCACCTGAGAGGCAGAGGCAGGCGGATCTCAGTGAGTTCAAGGCCAGCCTGGTCTACATAGTGAGTTCCAGGACAGCTGGCGCTACAGGGAGACCCTGTCTCAAAAAAAAAAAAAAAAAAAAAAAAGGTGCATTTTATGGCCTATCTATAACCCCAATGCTAGGGGCAGGGGCTTCAGGGGAGACAGGTGGATCTATGGGGTTCACTGGTCAGTCAATTCCTGCTCTGGAAAGTCACTGCTAAGAGAAAGAAAGACAAGATACAGGCTAGAAGATAATCTTTTCGAAATACACTTTGGTTAATGGGCAAGTATGCAAAATATACAAAGAACTCTCAAAATTCCACAAGAAAACCACCAGCCAAATTAAAAATAGGCAAAAAAAAAATAGGAATAGACCCTTCATCAATGAAGACATACAGATGACAAATAAGCATATGAAAAAATGACCTTGGGGAACAGTAAATTAAAACAATAATGACATACCATGGCATACAAATCTAGAAAACGAACCAACAGAAACAAAAATCAAACATTCCAGACACTAGCATGTTCATGGAGCAGCAAGATCTCTCTTTACTGCTGGTGAAATGTAACATGTATAGTCACTCTGAAAGACACTTTGTTGGTTCCTTAAAAAGTTAGTCACAGTTTGGGGGCTGGGGAGATGGAGACTGTAAAGTGCTTGTCATACAAACATGATAGCCTGAGTTCAGATCTCTAGTACCCAGGTAAAAATCCAGGGACAGCAGCACACAGCTGTAATCCTAGCTCTGAGGATGCAGAGACAGCGGGATCCCTGGAGCTCACTAGCTAGCCAGACTCCTGAGTCAGTGAACACAGGTTTAGTGAGACCCTGTCTCAAAAGAATAAGGCAGAAGCCTGAGGAAAACAACATCAGTCTGTGGCCTACACATATTCATTCTGTCATCTCTCTCTGTCTCTGTCTCTGTCTCTGTCTCTGTCTCTCTCTCTCTTCCTGTCTCTCACAGAATTAAACATCGTTTTAACATATTATCTAACAGTCTTCCTCCTAAGTGTTTACTTATCTTAGCTGAAAATTGATGTCCATATAAAACCTGTACATGAATGGCTTTGGTGCTTTTATTTATAATTGTCAAAGGCTGGATCAAGAGCACCCCCAATGGTTCTATTAGTCCCTAGGGTTCCCATAACACAGTACTAGAAGCTGGGTGTCTTTGATCCACAGAAATGTATTCTCTCACAATTTTGGAGTCTAGAAGTCTGAAATTAGGCATCTTATGTTCTCTCTGAGGCTCTGAGTAGACTCTTTCCTCCCAGTCTCTCTTTAGTTTCTAGTGTCACTGGTGCCCTGCCTCTGTTGTCACGTGGTGCTCTCTGTGCGTTTCTAACTCCACATGGCATTTTCTTTCTTACAGAGACCAGTCCTGTTGAATTAGGACCCACGCTAATGACCTCATCCTAATTTGCTTATATCTAAAAAGAGTTCTTTCCAAATAAGGTCATATTTCATAGGTATCAAAGATTTAGACTCCAACATATCTTTCTGGAAGACACAGGTTAGATTTGAAAAAATAGATTAGGGGCTGGAGAGATGGCTCAGCAGTTAAGAGCACTGACTGCTCTTGCAGAGGACCCAGGTTTGATTCCCAGCACCCACATGGTGGCTACGAATCATCCTTAACTCCAGTTCCAGGGGAATCCGAAGCCCTCTTCTGACCTCTGCAGCATTGCATGACATAGGTGCACTCACATACATGCAGGCAATACACTCAGACACAGAAAAATAAATAATAAATAAAATATTTTTTAAAAAAAATAAATAGATTAATGATAGCTGGGACTGGTGGCTCACACTTGTAATCTCAGTATTTGGACACTAAGGCCAATGAATTGCTGTGAGTTCAAGGCCAACCTGGGCTACAGAGTGAGACCCTGTCTTATAAAAAGAATAGATTAACAGATAAACAAACTGTGGTACATTCATATAATGGAATATTATTCAGTTATAAAAAGAAATGAGCTATAAAACCATAAAAAAAGACATGAAGGCACTTTAAGCCATATTGCTTCATGGAAGACTCCAATCATAAAATGCTACATACTGTATGATTCAGAAGAGGCAAAACTATAGAGTGTAAAATGTCAGTGGTTGCCAAAGGGTTGGGGTATGGGAGGGAGTAGGGGATGCATAACTGAAGCACAGGAGGTTTTTAGGGAGGTAAAACGTTTGGAGGATACCTTATTGGTAGTTACATCGTACCTCATGCTTGTCAAGACCTATGGAACTAGGGAATGGGAAGAATGGAGTCTTATGTGAAACTATGGGAGCTAGTTAATGATAATGTATCAATATTGATTCATCAATTGTAACAAATGTATCATATGAATAGAATATGTTAACAAGGGAGAACTATGCACAGGGGAACAGTGAGATACTGGAATTGTGGGTACTGTCCAATCAGTCTTTCCACCCCCCCATCATTCCCCAAAATGGGTTATGTATATGTGCCCTATTCCCAGGCTCCTATAATTCCTTGCCTGTTTGGCTAGGCCTACAGCACATAATATTTCACCTTTATGTCTGTCAGTTAACAGCCGTGGCTTGCTGACCCCTAGCCTAGAATGCAGAGATGGTGAAAGGACTTAATCCATGCAACCAGCTAGCAGGCACCAGGGGAGGATTGACAAAGGGCACTTCTGTTCCCTCCATGTACTGATGATATAATTTGTGGTGTAATCCTTATAAGCCTCTAACCCATTAGGCTATTTTCTAGATGGGAGCATAGGACACAGCCATATCACATTAAAGCTTACTGCAATCTGAACAGACTCTCAATTACTGGCTGGTCTTTGGCTTGCCAAAGACAGATCCCCATGGGGTACTTTGGGCATTAAGAAACCTCTCCAATATTCTAGTCTGGTGGTTTTGATGAAAATCCATGCTTTTTACATTACACAACACACTCAATCTTGTTCAAGTTAAAAAGCATTGTTTTTGGTCCCATACACAGATGTAGACAGCATTACCAGACAAGGCAGAAATGCAGCTTTCTGTCCAAAGAAATAGGTTTTATTTTTAAAATGTTGGCAGCTGGGCTGGGAATCTAGCTTAGTGGGTAGAACCCTTGCCTAGCACGCATGAAGGAATCTATAAGCTGGTGCCGTGGCACACATGTGTAAACCCCAATGCTTGGGAGTTCGAAGCAGAAGGATCAGAAGCTCAAGGTCATCCTTGAGATGGAAGTCAGCCCGAGTTACCTGAGACAAAAGAGGGGGATGGCTCAGTGGTGAAAGCACTTGCACCACACGTGTGAGAACTGAATCCAGAACCCAGAACCCACTTAAATTAGAGTGGGCCATGGCCTCCCAACTCAAATTCCGGCCTTGGAATGTGGAGACAGGAGATCCCCAGAGGAAGAAGACTAGAGTCTGTATCTCTGGGCTCCGGGTTTTATTGAAAGACCCTGCCTCAAGGAAGAAAGTGGAAGGGTAATGGAGGACGACTGATTCCTGACATCAACCTCAGGCCTCCACATGCACACATCCCCACATACAAACACATGCATACAACACACACACACACACACACACACACACCGAGAGAGAGAGAGAGAGAGAGAGAGAATGTTGCCAACTACCTCAAACTGTTTAGAATACTGGACCAGTATGTTGGGAGGATAAGGAGTTACATAAGTGAACTGGGGTACCGATGATGGAGAAGTAGCAAGAAATGGCAGATGGGTAAAGGCGTTTTCTGGAAAGTTCCGATTATCTCCCTCAAGGAACTATGGGTCTGAGCCATCAGCAAAGGATTTAAACAAGAACAGGACCCAATTAGAAAGGCTTTTCAAAACGATCCCTTGGCAGTTAGTGGGGGCAGGGCTGAGAGTATGGTTAGGAACTAGAAGTCTATCATTAAGCTAAGTAAGGGTAATGGAGTGATGACAAAGGCCTGTTAACTTTGTTCTTTCTCCTACAAGACTGTAAGCTCCAAGCCAGCAGGGCGCCTGTCTCTCGTCTTCCTTGCTGTCGCCAAAAGATCCCACGTTAGTTGTTGAAAAGATGAAGGAAAGTGAATACGTGACATTTGGAAGGGCTAGGTTTAAGAGTCAACAGCCTGAGGGAAGCATTAATAAAATGCAAGTTAACAGTAAAAACAGGGGGCTGGAGAGATGGTCAGAGGTTAAGTGTACTGGCTGCTCTTGCAGAGGACCCAGGTACGATTCCCAGCACCCACACGGAGGCTAATAATCGCCTGTAACTCCAGTTCCAGGGGATCCAAGAGCCTCTTCCACAGGCAATACATGGCACGGATACACTTGCATACAGGCAAAACACTCATACATATAAAATAAAAAAACATATTTAAAATAACAACAGTAAGACCAGCAATGGAAGTAGCGAGCCCTGGAGCCCTTCTTCTATCCTGAAACTTTCCGTAGGAATGATACTTGGGGACCAGGAAATCTCAATGAAGAATTAATGCACACAGCAGGTTTGGGTTTGTTTTTTGTTTTTTTTTTAAGACCTTGAAGTGTTCCATTCCCGACACTTCCGTCTGGAGAAGGGAGGAATAGGAAGTACCTTTCAGGACTGCAAGGAACATTAACTGACGGTGTAGTGCTGAACAATTTGTTTTCCCCTAGCTAAAGGATTCCCTAAGCACACAGCAAGAGAGCCTGGCTTTCGCCGCCCTTTCAGGGCGCAGTGGGAACCTGTGCCTGGTGAACGCCAAGCCCTCCGCAGTCCCTGTTCTCGCACATCCCAGTCCTCGGCCCCGCCCTCTCCTTCCTCCTCTTCCTGCTCCCCCGCCCCACTTCCTTTCCCTGCGCCCGCCTCCACCTCGCTCCCACCCTCTCCATCCCTGCCCTCCGCGACTTTTCCTCCTCTGGGCAGTCACCGCCCTTTTCGGGAGGCCGGGGCAACCCCGTGCCTCGCTCGCCCAATGAGGTGCCGGCGCAGGGTGGGGCGGGACTTGGGCTAGAGCGGAAGTGGTAGCAGGAGCGGAAGTGGAGCTGCAGCCACCGCCGCCGCTGCTGATTCCCGAGCCCGGTAGCCGCCGCCACAGCCGCCACCGCCACCGTCGCCACTGCAGCCTCTGCAGCCACGGTCGCCGCCGCCTGAGGAGTGGGCTTTGGAAGGACGCGGCCGCCACCCTCAGCTTCGCCGGAAGCGCTGTGCCCTGCAGCCCTCCACGGTGAGTGCGGCGCGCGGCCCCCCAGGGGCCCCGGCTCCTAGCCCCTTCCCGGGTGGCGGCGAGCGGCCCGGAGGGACGAGCGGCTGCGGCCTCCTCCGCCCTCCCAGCTGCGGTCTCCTCCGCCCTGCCGGCCGCCGGACTCGCCGCCGCCCCTCCCTGCTTCCGGGGCCGGGCCGTAGCGTCCCGGAGCTGCCCCGGCCTCGGTCTCCGCGCTGCGCGGGGTGCGGCCCGGCCCGCGCTGCAGGGGACCCCTGGGCCTCGGGCCCGGACTCCCCCCGCCCTGCCTCCCTTTGATCCTGGTCTCGCTCCCCCGCCCTGAGCCCCGGTGGGCCAGAACCATCCCTTTCAGCCCAGTCACCCCCGCTCAGTGCTTCGTGGCGTCTAGAAATTGACATTTTAACTGAACGCCGCGAGGTCCCGAGCCTCAGTGCCCCGGTAATCCCCTGCATGAGGAAGGGTTTAACCTTGGGGACAGCGGCGGCGAATCCCTCTCCCACTTTGCAGTAAAGCTGTTTCATCATCCTTCGCTGGTGTGGGAATCTGGTAGGACCCGAGATTCCCTGGGAAATGCAGCTTTGAGGTTTGAATCAAATGAATTTGATGGAGCCGGTTACTGACTCAACCCGGATTCCCGGGGGGTCGGGGAGGCAGGCTGAATATTAGGTATTTTCTCATATATACCGTCATTTACTGCCAGAATCTCCTGTGTCCGCACCCTAAATTCCTTCATGCGTGTTCCACTCCCCTCCCCCACCTGAATTTGCCTGGTAAACCTCCCTGGTGCGGGGGCAGGGATGTGGACCCTCTTCAGATGAGTACATCTATGTCTTGCAAATGGAGAACCTGCGTGCAGTGCGGGTTTGAAAGGTGGCAGCATTGGTAAGATTTTTCTTAAATGCATGTTTCTTGCGTTTGCCTTCTATGCATTTCTCTTAAAGCATCGGACTGATTTTCCTTGCCCTGTGTGGGAGGGTGGAATTTGGCAAGACATTATGAATCTATAAAATCAGCGGGTCAGAGGAACCAGAACAGAAAGGTATAAGGCTTAGAATATGGAAATTGCTTTTCTCACTGTATCTCAGGTTCTGTATGATTACACATATGGTTACACATCCGCCAAGTTTACAGGATGGAACACGTGGTTACTGAGCTTTTTTTTTTTTGCAGCTGGAAATTTATAATATGATTTTTTTCTTAATGAATTTTTTCTTGACTGCTTCTAGTGTATCCCATTTCTTAACTGGGGTTGCCTGAGTGGTGGTCCCCTCTCCTTTTTTTTTTTTTTTTTTTTTTTTTTTTTAAGATCCATGCCCTTAGCAGTATACAGTATGAAGAATATAAACCCAGTTGGTTTTACTTGACCCAAGTTAGAATTTTAAGCATGGTCTTCAAAATGGAGGGCTAAAAATTAAGTAGCAACTGATAAATTATTTTCTTAGCCTCTGCCTCCAATAAGATAAGAAACCATAAACCCATCCTACAGATGAAGTGTTTGTGAGAAATGAGGTGATTTGGTCCAAACCTAACACACCTAATTTCATACTGAATATCCTCTTTCATCAGTGGCAAATATTTATGGACTGTCAGTCCCTGGAGTATGGTTCCTACCCTGTAATCTTCTGTGCATTTCCCATCATGCAGTGCTTGTGTTATATTGAAACCATTTTAGAATTGGAGCGCTATAGATCGAGGAGATGGACTGTAAAACCAGTCTGGGCAAATTCCCTTGATACCAGTTCTCTAGGCAGAGTCTCCAGGGATTTGGGCTGCTGCAAAAAAGTGCATCTTTCCCACTTGCCTGTGGATCCAGAAACAGAGTACTGGAGTTGGGGTTAGGTGAATTTGATTCGGTTCTTGCCGGTGCCGTTTAGTACCTGTGTAATCTTCTGCAAGATAATTGATCGCTGGCTCTTAGTTTACTAACTCCAGAGTTGTCCTGAGACCTTTTTGTTAAATACAAGTAATTTTGTTGTATTGAATACTGAGTCCTTTTTCTTTCTCCAATTATTTTTTGATAAGACCCAGTCTTGTTTTGTACAGATTGCTTTGAAAAACTGATAGCATCGTACAGTTTATTTTACAGTATAAGCAAATTCAGTGTTTCTAAGTCATTTTTCTCATCTGGACAGTGCAAATAATAACAGAAGTCCCCTCACCTCCCAACAGGTTTTTGCTATGTAACCTAGGCTAGCCTCAAAGTCACTGTGTCAGTCTTCTTCCCTCAGCCCCAGGAGTGCTGGGATTACAGGTGTGCACCTCTATGCTGGGCTGGTAATGCAGTCTTTGATGTATTGTGACATACGTAATTAAAATAAGCATCATAAGCATCCGTAACTTAGACTTTTTTTAAATTTAATTTTCAAGCGATACATAAAAAAATGTACATTTTAATGGATATATCATGTGATGTTTAAATATAAGTATATGTCACATAGTGTTTAAGTCAAATAACATATCTCCTCAGTCATTTATTGTTTCTTTGTGGCAAAAATAAAGTCCTAACTTTTTTTTTCTCCTTGAGACAGGGTCTCATTGTGTAGCTCTGGCTGGCCTGGAAACTAGGCCAGGCTCGCCTCCAACTCCAGAGATCTGCCTGCCTCTGCTTGTCAAGTGCTGGTATTAATGGTGTGGGCCATCACGCTCTTTGAAATTTTTGAAATATACAGTTTATCAACACTATAGCACAACAGAAATTGAATTCCAGTATACCTGTAACTTAGTATCCATTGATCAGCCTATCTCTAGTCTATCTTAATACCTATTTTTGATCATACATGTGTCCATATTTAGATTGGACAGAGTATATATGCTATGTAGCATAGACACAGAATCTACCCTTTTGACTTAATCGCCAACTTGAAGTAGCATCAGGTAAACATTCTGTGCTCACAGTAGTGACCGCTTGTAGCACTTTGTGTAAAGCTTTGTTGTAAGTACTTCAAACATTAATTTAGTCTTCAGTCAATAAGAGGTGAGTACTATTAGTAGCCTCATTTTATAAACGAGGGAACTGAGATGTAAGGAGTAACTTTTCAAAGGATGCATATATGCACAGCACAGGGTTAATGCTGAAACCAGGAATCAAACCCAGGTTGTTTAGCTCTGAGTAATGATAGATTCACCTTCTAGAACAACATGTATGTTTTCTTAAGTGATCACCTTAATTTTTATGTGCATGCTTTTAACGTGTTGAAGCTGGAATTTTAGCTAATCTAAAGACATACACAACATACTTTATTTGTGGGGTAAGATGTACCCCTTCAGACTTTGTAGGGGTGATATTGCTGGTGTATAGTAGAAGAAAATGTCTGGGCCTAGAAGAGATGGCTCAGCGGTTAGCACTGGCTGCTCTAACAGGACCTGGGTTCAGTTCCCTGTGCCCACATGGAGGCTAACAGCCACCTGTAACTCCAGTTCCAGGGGATCCAACACCCTCTTTTGACCTCCATGGGCACTGCATTGATGGGTGCACTTACATACATGTAGGCAAAACACTCATATACATAAAATAAAACAAAATTAGAAAAGAAGAAAGTGTCTGAAAAATGTAGTTTATTTTAGTGCTTGATTCATGCTAGAGAGAAACTTACCAGTCATCATTATTTCTCATACTACTTTTTCTGTAGTATTTTAGGTTTTTATATTTTGTTGGGAAAGAATAGTGGAGGGAAATTGAGAGAAAGTTGTAAGTTATTGGCATCTTGTAGTAATGTATTCCCTGCATTTCAGTGACTAGATGAAAGCTGTTTTCCTCAAAATGAGGAACCTTAGAAACTAGGCTGATATGTAAAGGATCCTTCATTTGTATGTTTTCTAAAACACACAGTAAGTCACACTAGTTAAGGGTCAGGAAATTAGTTATGTAACTTTTAAGCATCAGACCTCTATGTGAATAAGATGCTGGTAGTCACTGTCATGTCACGGTAGAGAAACTGGAGCAGGATTCTGAGAGGATTTTCCTGCAGAGAGTGCAAAAGGAGAAAAAATATATTTAAAGTACTTTCTACCATGTGATATGTGCTAAAAGGGACTCTGGAGACTGCTTTCTAAGAGAGGCAGTTACATGTTTCTGATACTTATAATGGGATGAAAATGAACAGTGGCCTCATAAAACTAAGTTATTCTGGCAGGTTGTAGGTTAACTTTTTTTTTTTTTTTTAGTTCTAGCCAGTTCTTGATTATGTAAGTTTTCCTGTCCTGGTTGTTTATTTCATTGTTTTCCTTAAAAGACCCAGCCAGGAGAGTTATTTCTGACTGGCCTTGACCAGGACAAACATGAAAGGCTAAGATAAAGTAGATAGGAGCCTCGTCTGTTATTTGTCCTCAGAGGAGACCCTTACATTAAAAAGCTTGTTTGACAGTTTGAGGAGTTTTGGGCATATACTGTAACTGCTATAATAACCTTGCACACAATTCTTCAAAAAAACATTGAGTTGTATCCTTTAAGTGTTGGGAATTGTGACTGATCTTAGAAGATTGTGCTACATTGAGAAATGAATGTTAATTTTAAAATTAATGCTGAGGGGCTGATGAGATGGGTCAGCACCTGCCACCAAGCCTGACCTGAGTTTGATCCCTGAGATCTAATGGTGGAAGGAAAGAACCAGCTCTTGAAAGTTGCCCTCTGACCTCTGCACAAAAAGAAATATAAACAAGTTTTTTTTAATGTTGAGGTCTAGGGAGAGAGCTTAATTGACCAGGAGTTTGCCATGCAAGCATAAGGACCTGTATTTGATCCCCAGCACCCACATAAAGAAGCTAGGCATGGGAGACATACATTTGTAATCCAGGGTTGGGGAGGCAGAGATGGGAGGGTCCTGGGAGAAATCTGTTTCAAAAAGTTGATCTCTGGCCTCTGCACACATGTGCACTTACATGCATGTGCAACCTATACGTATATACACACACAACACACAAATTAATGCTAGTGTAGACCTCAGCTCTGCTATGGATATATGACCCTGAGCAAGTCATTCTTTACATCTATAAAAGGAAGTGGT